TACGTAGAGCGGCCGGTCACTCGCCCTACGTAGAGCGGCCGGTCACTCGCCCTACGTAGAGCAGCCGGTCACTCGCTCTACGTTCCTCGCGGCAATCTCCCCGAGGGCGCGTTAACTGAGACGCCTCGCGCTTATGATGTTAATTACAACTGGGCACAGCTCCCATGCCACAACAGTCGCCCGAACAGCCACCACAGGCCCCAACAACTCTCACCCCTGCACAGCAACCCCGGAAGCATGAAACATCTCGCAATCCCAACTCAGAGACCACCATCCCACACCCCAGGATCAACCACTCACGCCTCCGATTAGCACGGTGAGCAATGTACGGTGCAAAGGAAGTTCAACATACAGTGAGGGAAAAAAGTATTTGATCCCCTGCTGATTTTGAACGTTTGCCCACCGACAAAGAAATGATCAGTCTGTAATTTTAATGGTAGGTTTATTTGAACAGTGAGAGACAGAATAACAACAAAAAATCCAGAAAAACGCATGTCAAAAATGTTATAAATTGATTAGCATTTTAATGAGGGAAATAAGTATTTGACCCCCTCTCAATCAGAAAGATTTCTGGCTCCCAGGTGTCTTTTATACAGGTAACGAGCTGAGATTAGGAGCACACTCTTAAAGGGAGTGCTCCTAATCTCAGCTTGTTACCTGTATAAAAGACACTTGTTCACAGAAGCAATCAATCAATCAGATTCCAAACTCTCCACCATGGCCAAGACCAAAGAGCTCTCAAAGGATGTCAGGGACAAGATTGTAGAACTACACAAGGCTGGAATGGGCTACAAGACCATTGCCAAGCAGCTTGGTGAGAAGGTGACAACAGTTGGTGCAATTATTCGCAAATGGAAGAAACACAAAAGAACTGCCAATCTCCCTCGGCCTGGGGCTCCATGCAAGATCTCACCTAGTGGAGTTGCAATGTTCATGAGAACGGTGAGGAATCAGCCCAGAACTACACGGGAGGATCTTGTCAATGATCTCAAGGCAGCTGGGGCCATAGTCACCAAGAAAACAATTGGTAACACACTACGCCGTGAAGGACTGTAATCTTAGAGCGCCCGCAAGGTCCCCCTGCTCAAGAAACCACGTATACATGCCCGTCTGAAGTTTGCCAATGAATATCTGAATGATTCAGAGGACAACTGGGTGAAAGTGTTGTGGTCAGATGAGACCAAAATGGAGCTCTTTGGCATCAACTCAACTCGCCGTGTTTGGAGGAGGAGGAATGCTGCCTATGACCCCAAGAACACCATCCCCACCGTCAAACATGGAGGTGGAAACATTATGCTTTGGGGGTGTTTTTCTGCTAAGGGGACAGGACAACTTCACCGCATCAAAGGGACGATGGACGGGGCCATGTACCGTCAAATCTTGAGTGAGAACCTCCTTCCCTTAGCCAGGGAATTGAAAATGGGTCGTGGATGGGTATTCCAGCATGACAATGACCCAAAACACACGACCAAGGCAACAAAGGAGTGGCTCAAGAAGAAGCACATTAAGGTCCTGGAGTGGCCTGGCCAGTCTCCAGACCTTAATCCCATAGAAAATCTGTGGAGGGAGCTGAAGGTTCGAGTTGCCAAACGTCAGCCTCGAAACCTTAATGACTTGGAGAAGATCTGTAAAGAGGAGTGTGACAAAATCCCTCCTGAGATGTGTGCAAACCTGGTGGCCAACTACAAGAAACGTCTGACCTCTGTGATTGCCAACAAGGGTTTTGCCACCAAGTACTAAGTCATGTTTTGTAGAGGGGTCAAATACTTATTTCCCTCATTAAAATGCAAATCAATTTATAACATTTTTGACATGCGTTTTACTGGATTTTTTTGTTGTTATTCTGTCTCTCACTGTTCAAATAAACCTACCATTAAAATGATAGACCGATCATTTCTTTGTCAATGGGCAAACGTACAAAATCAGCAGGGGATCAAATATTTTGTTTCCCTCACTGTACATGCACCCTACACTGACCACCCAAACCCGACTCACATCTCCACATACAACCTCACACTCCGCAGATACCCTCTCACGCACACTGCCCACAACCAGCCACTCGCCCCAACTCACCTCCAGGCCCCACTCACACCCCCACACTCACCCCACTCACTCACTCACCTCCAGACACCACTCACACCCCCACACTCACCCCACTCACTCACCTGACTCACTCACCTCCAGGCCCCACTCACACCCCCCACACTCACTCACCTGACTCACTCACCTCCAGAACCCACTCACATCCCCACACTCACCCCACTCACTCACCTGACTCACTCACCTCCAGACACCACTCACACCCCCACACCCCCACACTCACGCCACTCACTCACCCCACTCACTTACCTCCAGAACCCACTCACACCCCCACACTCACCCCACTAACTCACCTGATTCACTCACCTCCAGACCCCACTCACACCCCCCACACTCACCCCACTAACTCACCTGACTCACTTACCTCCAGACACCACTCACACCCCCACACTCACCCCACTAACTCACCTGATTCACTCACCTCCAGACCCCACTCACACCCCCCACACTCACTCACCTGACTCACTCACCTCCAGACCCCACTCACACCCCCCACACTCACCCCACTCACTCACCCCCACGCAGACCACGCTCACATCCCCACACTCACTCACCCCCACACTCACCCCAACATACAGACCACACTCATCCCACACACACAGACCCGCGCCGACTCTCGCCCCCCACTTACACAGTCCTCAACACCCCCTCCTGACCCCAGCGCTCACCTCCCCACTTACCTCCCCGCTCACCTCCCCGCTCACCCTCCGCGCCGCTCACCCCCCGCGCCGCTCACCCTTAAAGAGGTAGTCGTACTCGTCGTCGCGGGCCCCCATGTCGCTTGAGACGTAAATGGTGGAGCGGTGCGAGAGACGGCTGAGGCTGCGCGGCGGTGGTGGAGGCGAAGCTGTTGCTGCTGCTCTTGTTAATATCTCTCTATCCGCTCGTTATGTCTCTCTCCTCCCTGTGTCTCTCCGTGTCTCTGTCTCTCGCTGTGTCTCTGTCTCTCTCCGTGTCTCTGTCTCTCGCTGTGTCTCTGTCTCTCGCTGTGTCTCTCTCCCCGTCTCTGTCGCTCTGTCTCCCCGTGACAATCCTCCCCACAGCCGTGCGGAAACTCTGACGTTACTTCCGCCTCCGCCGGCACGCGACCTTTCACCCCCCCGCCAGCCCCTCCCCCTCCCACGACCCGCCCTCCACCCACGCGAGCCCCCGCCCCACACACTCCCCCCTCCTTGTGAGCCCCCCCCCCCCGCGTGACACGTGACGTGCGGCACGTGATGGTGGGCTGGAGGATTCACCCGCCCCCATACTCCACCACACCCACCCCCCACAGGCGATTCGATTAATTGACGGAAGTCCATTGCGTGGTACGCGATTCAATGTGGGAATCGATTGTATTTGTCGACAGTGGTTGGTGCGGGAAATGTGTAACGATGACGATTTTCCAGCGATTCATTTTTTCTATCGATTGTAAATCTCGATGAAATGAAGAATCGGTTCATGTTTCAGGCCCGAGTTTGTACTGTTGGGCGTGCAACTATAAACCCCCCTGAGCGATTCAATTATCACGAATCAATTAATCGATCGCGAACCGATTATTCATCATGATTCGAATTCCATATATAACAGGCGACGTTTCGGGCAACGGCCCTTCATAGCAAACAACCTCAATAAGTGATCGTTCACACCACTGGCCCCAAGGGACTATTTAAGTACTTCAACGGGGGACCGAGTTTTCTATTCACGGTCGTGACGGCACCAGCCGTGGTGATGGATGTCGTCTGGGGCTTTCCCTTCGCTCGATTCAGCGTTAAGAACTGGGGACATGGTGCGGTGAGGAAAACCTTCGCGACTGGGGAGACAAAGGCGGCCCTGCGTGCTTCTGGCCACACCCGTGCATCATTCGGGCCTTGTACGTCTGGTGAACTTCTTTCGCATCGTACGTAGCCAACGGTGCGCCATCAGAAGTGCCTTCATGAGTACTCAAGAAGAGTCGATGTGGGTTCATTGTCACGTGAAGTGTGTTACTGTGTAACAGCCACGCTGACAATTGCACCCCCATCCACCCACCCCATCACCCTCCCCATCACCACCCACCCCATCACTACCCTCCCCATCACCACCCACCCCATCACCACCCTCCCCATCACCACCCACCCCATCACCATCCACCCCATCACCATCCACCCCATCACCACCCACCCCATCACCACCCTCCCCATCACCATCCACCCCATCACTACCCTCCCTATCACCACCCACCCCATCACCACCCACCCCATCACCCTCCCCATCACCACCCACCCCATCACCACCCACCCCATCACTACCCTCCCCATTACCATCCACCCCATCACCACCCTCCCCATCACCACCCACCCCATCACTACCCTCCCCATCACCACCCACCCCATCACCACCCTCCCCATCACCATCCACCCCATCACTACCCTCCCTATCACCACCCCGCAAATGATAGTGCGGTAAGCAATTGGGACGGCACGCTGAAATCATCGCCCCCTACTGGCAGCCGACCGATGCTCCAGGTAATTCCTGCAAATTCGACTTCCCTATCCTGGCCTCTTGAGTTCTCATTTCGTGAACCAAACCCAACTCGACCTCACTCGTCAATTATTCACCCACTCACTCCCGCCTCATTCATTCACTCGCTCTCGCAAATGAGACTCGTGGCCTCTTCAGGTGCCGCCTGGTGACCACAAAATCAGCTTCGAAACGGGACTCCACACAGCCCCGGTCCTCAGCATTGGCCACGAGGTGGCGCGTGGGAGCCACGTGGGCGCGCATCTGGGTGGGATAGAATGGGTGGGGGCTCGCAGGGGGTGGGGCTCAAAGGGGGGGGGGGGGCAAACGGGCTGATGAGGGTGGGGGCTGAGTGGGGTGAGGGTGGGGGCTGAGTGGGGTGAGAGTGGGGGCTAGCGGGGGGATCAGGGTGACGTCACTACCAGACGAAGCCGCGCGTGGGAGGCGCGGAGCCGGGAAAAGAGAACGGCACCGGGAGGAGGGAGACAGAAGCGGGGAGACGCGGAGGGGAGACGCGGAGGGGGACCCAGGGCGACGCGGGGACCCCCTAGAGACGCGACGCGGGGAGACGCGGGGATGCTGAGGCTGCGCCTGGGCAGGCGGAGGTCGCCTCCGCGCGGCTTCGCGTGCACGGTCCGGCTGCTGGACGACACCGAGATAACGTGCAACGTGCAGGCAAGCGCGCAGCCCATACCCACTCACCCACCCCATACCCACTCACCCACCCCGTACCCACTCACCCACCCCGTACCCACTCACCCACCCCATACCCACTCACCCACCCCATACCCACTCACCCACCCCATACCCACTCACCCACCCCATACCCACTCACCCACCCCATACCCACTCACCCACCCCATACCCACTCACCCACCCCATACCCACTCACCCACCCCATACCCACTCACCCACCCCATACCCACTCACCCACCCATTCACTCACCCACCCCATACCCACTCACCCACCCCATACCCACTCACCCACCCCATACCCACTCACCCACCCCATACCCACTCACCCACCCCATACCCACTCACCCAATCACTCACCCACCCATTCACTCACCCACTCACCCAATCACTCACCCAATCACTCACCCACCCACCCATTCACTCACCCAATCACTTATCCACCCAACCGACTCACCAACTCACCCACCGACTCGCCCACCTTCCTCACCAACCGATTCACAAATCGACCGGCTGACCCTGACCGGCCCGGTCTCCTGTGACCTGACCTGATCGAACCCCCACACGACCTTGGCTGTAGTCTCACCTCACCCGACCTGGTTCCATCTGACCGTGACCCCGAGCTGACCTGGCCCCGGTTCGACACGGCCCGGCCCAGTCGGAGTCGACCGCGGCCCTGACCCCGTCCCCTGCACACCCTCGCGGGCGCGCGGGCCCCGAGTCTGAGCTTTGGGGTCTCTTGACCCCCAGAGGGTGTGGGGGGGCGCTGGGGGCCCCGGAGGCGAGACGAGGAGGGCCCACGTCCTCGAGACGAGGAGGCCCCACGTCCTCGAGACGAGGCCCCACGTCCTCGAGAGGAGGGCCCACGTCCTCGAGACGAGGAGGCCCCACGTCCTCGAGACGAGGAGGGCCCATGTCCTCGAGACGAAGATGGCCAGGCACCTCCGCGGTACTCCGACGCAAGGAGCCGCCGCCTTCCCGGTTTGTTTTGATTTGCGTCCGTGGCGCCGCCCACAGCGGAGATGGAGAGAGAGAGAGAGAGGGGAGGGAGACAGGGAGAGACTGAGACACGGGGACAGGGGAGGGAGAGACTGAGACACGGGGACAGGGGAGGGAGACAGGGAGAGACTGAGACACGGGGACAGGGGAGGGAGAGACTGAGACACGGGGACAGGGGAGGGAGACAGGGAGAGACTGAGACACGGGGACAGGGGAGGGACAGGGGAGGGAGACAGGGAGAGACTGAGACAGGGGAGGGACAGGGGAGGGAGACAGGGAGAGACTGAGACACGGGGACAGGGGAGGGACAGGGGAGGGAGACAGGGAGAGACTGAGACACGGGGACAGGGGAGGGAGACGGGGAGAGACTGAGACACGGGGACAGAGGAGAGAGACAGGGAGAGACTGAGACACGGGGACAGGGGAGGGAGACAGGGAGAGACTGAGACACGGGGACAGGGGAGGGAGACGGGGAGAGACTGAGATACGGGGACAGAGGAGAGAGACAGGGAGAGACTGAGACACGGGGACAGAGGAGGGAGAGACTGAGACACGGGGACAGGGGAGGGAGAGACTGAGACACGGGGACAGGGGAGGGAGACGGGGAGAGACTGAGACACGGGGACAGAGGAGAGAGACAGGGAGAGACTGAGACACGGGGACAGGGGAGGGAGACAGGGAGAGACTGAGACACGGGGACAGGGGAGGGACAGGGGAGGGAGACGGGGAGAGACTGAGATACGGGGACAGAGGAGAGAGACAGGGAGAGACTGAGACACGGGGACAGAGGAGGGAGAGACTGAGACACGGGGACAGGGGAGGGAGAGACTGAGACACTGGGACAGGGGAGGGAGACAGGGAGAGACTGAGACACGGGTACAGGGGAGGGAGAGACTGAGACACGGGAACAGGGGAGGGAGAGACTGAGACACGGGGACTGGGGAGGGAGACAGGGAGAGACTGAGACACGGGGACAGGGGAAGGAGAGACTGAGACACGGGGACAGGGGAGGGAGAGACTGAGACACGGGAACAGGGGAGGGAGAGACTGAGACACGGGGACTGGGGAGGGAGACAGGGAGAGACTGAGACACGGGGACAGGGGAGGGAGACAGGGAGAGACTGAGACACGGGGACAGGGGAAGGAGAGACTGAGACACGGGGACAGGGGAGGGAGACAGGGAGAGACTGAGACACGGGGACAGGGAGGGACAGGGGAGGGAGACGGGGAGAGACTGAGACACGGGGACAGAGGAGAGAGACAGGGAGAGACTGAGACACGGGGACAGGGGAGGGAGAGACTGAGACACGGGGTCAGGGGAGGGAGACAGGGAGAGACTGAGACACGGGGACAGGGGAGGGAGACAGGGAGAGACTGAGACACGGGGACAGGGGAGGGAGACAGGGAGAGACTGAGACACGGGGACAGGGGAGGGACAGGGGAGGGAGACGGGGAGAGACTGAGACACGGGGACAGAGGAGAGAGACAGGGAGAGACTGATACACGGGGACAGAGGAGGGAGACAGGGAGAGACTGAGACACGGGGACAGAGGAGGGAGACAGGGAGAGACTGAGACACGGGGACAGGGGAGGGAGAGACTGAGACACGGGGACAGAGGAGGGAGACAGGGAGAGACTGAGACACGGGGACAGGGGAGGGAGACAGGGAGAGACTGAGACACGGGGACAGGGGAGGGAGAGACTGAGACACGGGGACAGGGGAGGGAGACGGAGAGAACGGAAGGGAGACGATGAGTGAGGGAGGAAGGATGGAGAGGGGACGCGGGAGAGAGACAGTGTCGGGAGAGGCCGTGTGAGAGACGCTGGGGAGAGAGGAGGCAGCAGCTGCTGCTGCGTGCGAGTCGCTTGGCGTCTCGCATCGCCACTAAGCCAGGGAGGGGCCCGGGCTCCCCCACTGCGTCAATGACCACGGCATCAGCAATCAGAATCAGCAGCAGCAGCCGCCATGGTTTCTCCACTGCTGGTTGAAGACCTCCAACCAAACCACACCGTGCCGCCTCTCACGGTCTCGCCGTGCATCAACAATCCCGCTCCCCCCTGCGCCGCGCGAGCTGATTTCACCGCTCCGTCTCCCCGCGCCGTCTCCTCTCGGGCGTGTGCTCCTTCATCCGGCTGCCTGCCAACCCACCCCGTCTGGTGTTGTGGTACCGACCACAGGCCACGATCTCTTCCAGCCATGGCCCCTGCCCAGGCCAGACCATCTCATGTTTCTGAAAGAGGCAATGTGGTGATGTCCTCTCTAACTGGCTGCGTGCGTTCTCTAAGCTGCGTGTTTTCCCTCAGATGTCTCTCGCTGAGATTGCAAAGCGTGCATCTTGCCGTGCTGCTTTGCAGTTTCTGTTCCACTTCGATGTGCCCGGCTCCTTCTGGTGAACGATTAGCTCCGAGCCGGCGACATGCATCGATTGGAAAGGTCCCTCTCTAGACAGTACAGATGTTTATAACTCGGACCCATATCTAGCAGAGAGGATCCTTTCACATAAACTTCTCCCAATTCACCAGCACGGGTTCAAGCCAAGCCACAACTCTGCTGCGACGGCTGATGAGACACTGAACGTCGAAACCCGTCTAAGAGTTTCGCTTGAAATAAACCAAACGCTGCTGAAACTGTGCACGCCCCTCGATGGCTGCTGAGGCTGACGGGATTTGAAAAGAACATCTGTGCTTTGCAAGCGGAGGGACAGGCGTGGTGGGAAGGAGGTCTCTGTCGTAGGCATTGGTCCAACTGCTTTCCATGATGAACTTCAACTTCCGAGAGCGCTGCACTTTGACCCCGCTCACGTATCTTCCACCATCGCTGTGATCACAGACCGCCTTCAAGAATCACTTGGAGCGCACGGCCGCCGCATGGCATCCGCTCGCTCCCTTAGAGGGAGGAGACGATTCGGAGGCACGAGGAGGAGGAACCACAGACGGGAGGGACGTCAAAAGCAGCAGCCACGCGGCGACGAGCCGGCGCCACCAGAAATTTCCCAAGATCTGCAGTTCTCTGTGTATGAAGGTGTTATCGGCCAATTAACAAGTGATTTATATGTGGGAGGAAATCGGAGCACCTGGAGAAAACCGACGCATGCGAGGGGGAAACACTCAATCCCATATAGGCAGAACAGGTTGTAGTCCTCATTTTTGCTGTACCGCCTTCTCCCGACGAACTACGGCTTCCCCCTCGACATCCGCAGGGAAAGAGTTTCACAACTTCTGCGAGCAATCCACCAACCCTCGCTGCTGCTTCCACAGCGCTGGGTTACAGGCAGCCACGTGCGGGATTGCCACCACCACCACCACTGCGTGGCTAATAACCGCCCTCGGTAGGAGGAACTTTCCTTTGTTTTTCAGCCGTGTCCCCCCCGGGAACGACCGTGTTCTGCGAGGCCGTCTTGATGTATTGCACGCAACTTTAACTTCGCTCGCGTTTATCTTGAAGCCTAACCTTGGCTCTGTGGTCTCACTTCCTGTCGTCCCGGTTGGTTTTGTTAGAATGACTTACCTTCAGGTTTTTGACCGGGAAATCACTTGGAGGTCTTCACGGTCCTTCAATGTTTAGTTTGCTCGCTCAAAGACCTCATCCGGTCAGTTTCTGGACGTACATTTTTTGTTTCAGTATTTATCCCCGACAATTAAATCTGGCTTCGAATTCGCGACGTCCGTTGCGTGGTAGATGCCAGCGTTCGTTGAGCTTACGGTGACGTGAAGACGTGTGGCATGTGGGGCCACCGCGAGGAGGATGCTCCCGTGCCTCGTCCATCAACCAGGACCTCAACAATACCTCCTCCTCCTCCCCACCGCTGCCAGCTTCCGACCCCATCTCTTCTAGGATCGTGCTGCTGCTACTGTCCCCGTCCCAAAATCTCGCCAAGATTCGGGAGAATGCTGCTGCTGCGTGAACAGAGAGTGGAACAACGCAGACATCCAGAATGAACCCCTCTTCATTCAAGACCCGAACATCACCGCACCACCTCCTG